ATCCCCAGCACGAAGGAGTTTCAACGGGTTGCCCGGGCCTCTAGGCCAGGGAGAACATGCTGATTCCTTCAGTGTAGCGCGCGTGCGGCCCAGGACATCTAAGGGCATCACAGACCTGTTATTGCTCAATCTCGTGCGGCTCGAAGCCGCCGGTCCCTCTAAGAAGAATTTTAATACGTCGCCAGTGAGTTGCGCGACCGAAGCCACGCACACATAAATGACGACGCCTATTTAGCAGGCTAGAGTCTCGTTCGTTACCGGAATTAACCAGACAAATCGCTCCACCAACTAAGAACGGCCATGCACCACCACCCACCGAATCAAGAAAGAGCTGTTAATCTGTCAATCCTTCCGGTGTCCGGGCCTGGTGAGATTTCCCGTGTTGAGTCAAATTAAGCCGCAGGCTCCACTCCTGGTGGTGCCCTTCCGTCAATTCCTTTAAGTTTCAGCTTTGCAACCATACTCCCCCCGGAGTCCAAAATCTTTGGTTTCCCGGAAGCTGCCCGCCGAGCCATCGTAGTAACGTCGGCGGATCGCTAGATGACATATTTACGGTTAGAACTAGGGCGGTATCTAATCGCCTTCGAACCTCTAACTTTCGTTCTTGATTGATGAAAACACCTTTGGCAAATGCTTTCGCTGATGTTCGTCTTGCGACGATCCAAGAATTTCACCTCTAACGTCGCAATACGAATGCCCCCAGTTATCCCTATTAATCATTACCTCGGAGTTCTGAAAACCAACAAAATAGAACCGAGATCATATTCTATTATTCCATGCACGAAATATTCAAGCAGCATTTTGAGCCCGCTTTGAGCACTCTAATTTGTTCAAAGTAAAATTGTCGGCCCATCTCGACACTCACCGAAGAGCACCGCGATAGGATTTTGATATTGAACCGCCGTTTTACCGACGGCTCACCGACGATATGCTCCGCAGACGTGTCAGTATCACCGCGGATGCGGTGCACCAACAGCGCGGCGCACAAATGCAACTACGAGCTTTTTAACCGCAACAATTTTAGTATACGCTATTGGAGCTGGAGTTACCGCGGCTGCTGGCACCAGACTTGCCCTCCAATTGTTCCTCGTTAAAATATTTAAAGTGTACTCATTCCGATTACGAGGCCTCGTAAGAGTCCCGTATCGTTATTTTTCGTCACTACCTCCCCGTGCCGGGAGTGGGTAATTTGCGCGCCTGCTGCCTTCCTTGGATGTGGTAGCCGTTTCTCAGGCTCCCTCTCCGGAATCGAACCCTGATTCCCCGTTACCCGTGACAACCATGGTAGTCGCAGAAACTACCATCGAAAGTTGATAAGGCAGACATTTGAAAGATGCGTCGCCGGTGCTGGACCATGCGATCGGCAAAAGTTATCCAGATTCATCAAAATTAACGACTTCGGACGCGAGGCCCTCCGTCGATTGGTTTTGATCTAATAAAAGCACTCATCCCATCACTGGTCAGAGTTCTGATTGCATGTATTAGCTCTAGAATTACCACAGTTATCCAAGTAACCGAGGTAAGATCTAAGGAACCAAAACTGATATATTGAGCCATTCGCGGTATCGCCTTAATACGGCTTGCACTGAGACATGCATGGCTTAATCTTTGAGACAAGCATATAACTACTGGCAGGATCAACCAGGGAGCTGACAGAGAGAACTTGAGTCTCGTTGTCACTATACACTCCGAGACCACACGTGCAACGCGACGCGCAAGCGTTTTAACGCTAAAACGCACCGGTGCCGTATGAGAGAATATATGAATTCTTATTCAGTCTGGTCACGGGCGAGATCGGGTATCTCACGTCACTCGCACGTATTAACCCAGACCTACTGCGGACGACGTTCAAGTGCGCCCAATTCATAGAACGTTCAACAACGAGACAACTGTGTGAATACTTCACTATGTTAACAATCATTTAACACATTTGATATTATTTTCGTGAATAACACAAACGACATATATCGCCCGGTGTTAGAGAGATCATATCCATTTTTTAAAATAAAATACCGTCCCGCGAATACGATTATAAAAAACGCACCACGGCGACGAGCATAATTTAACGGACGTTAACGATGGACGCGAAGTCAACTCGCTCACCGAACGTGTACCGCGTTAATTAAACGAACGCTCAAATACGTCTTACCGCTTCAATAAACGGAGACGTCGTTCGACACAGTTCAACAACGACGATCATAATATATAAATATATAATATAATAAATATTATAAATAAATATCATATTTTATATTTATATTTATAATATATCAATCGCACAACACCACAAAACATCTAATCTAACAAAACACATGAGACTTGAAAATTTGTCGTATTGTGAGATTCGACTAGCACCGCTCGTGCTTCGTCTATACATATGTACGACTGCAGATATGCGTCTCCGGCGGTTCGTGTATTGAACGAATAGTTCGCTAAGACACGGAAAGTGTTCGCGTATACGCATAACATTATGACGAGCCGTCATCATAGGGTTACTTTAATACTTACCTGTCTCACGACGGATTATCATGATCATCACCCACACCAGGACCACCACCATCATCACGATCACCACCACCACCATCACCAACCACCGCCATCGTAATCATCATGATCGTCGTCGTCGTCGTCACCATCATCATCGTCAGCATCATCATCAGCATCATCATCATCAGCATCATCAACAGCAGCAGCAGCAGCAGCAGCAGCAGCAGCAGCAGCATCGTCGTCGTCGTCACGTCGTCACGTCGTCTTCATCGTCATCATCATCATAATCATCATCATCATCATCATCATCATCATCACATCAGATAGATCACCGTCCTGAGCTGTGCCACCTGCACATCGATCGACTGCTTACTTACTCACCACACACATCTCATCATGTCAGTTTATCACGAATAAATTCTTTAGATGTGCGTTCGCGTATAATAATTTTTTTCACAATGCATCTTCAAAGTCACTGAGCGTGTTCGCGTATAAACATAACATAATAAATATAATTGTATTTATTGTATCCTCTCACCTATTACCAGTGATGAACATAGTCATGTATCCATCAAACAAGGAATGATGTAACAAATAACGCGAAGTGTTCGCGTATCGACATAACATTTTTATAAGTAACCTTTTAAAGTAAACTCTTCTAATGATGTGTGGTACCTTTTTCCTTGTAACTGTTTTTATATATTATTTATTCTTGGTGAACATCTGATATTGTATACATACACTTTAATAGTTTACATTTCCATTATATCCGTGCAACAATATGTAAATTTAATGACCGTTTAAAATTTAAAATATAATTTTATTATTATTTTATTTTATAATCATATGTCAATTTGACAATTTATCAATTTATCACATAGATGATAGATTTACTTTTTTATAATAATATTATGTATACTTTATATAGAACCTGCGTGAAGCGAAAAATAAAAACATAAATACATCATATAATAACTACATTGTAAATTTTTCTTTTTTACGTAGGTACACTATACATATTTAACATAATATATTATCTTCATACAGAAAATCGATCACGGCGGCCGTAGGATATATGGATGGAGATATATAAGAATTATCAGGAAAAAGATAAATAATTATAAGTGTTAGTATTAATGTACAAAATAACATATTATTAATTCAACAATACACATTAAATAAATATACACACTAGAATTATTCCACTGATTCTTTCGCGTTTATGCTCGCCTAGTACTAATCTATATTATAATATTTTTTACGTCATTACACAATCAAATCGCGTTTATCGTTCATATCGTTCTTCTCATACATACATTTAGTATAAATATTAATTACCTACAGTATTGAGTACACACCACATTTTACTATTATCTATCGCCACTGATGAAACATAACACACCGTCAACCAAACAATGATACAAACACGTTACAAGGATCTCTCGTCATATCGGTAACTTTATTTATTTATAATATGTCGAATGTATTATAAAAATATATCGTATACTAAATATATAGGCCGTTGCCTTGTTCTATGACATACTGTACCAGTCAATCACAAGAATGATGATTGAACAAATAAAGTTTGTATGTGAAAATTAAAGATAAATATAACTTTTTATATGATAAACGACGTGGTTGCTGTTGCACATAGATATAATGTAGATTTTTTTCAATTACGAATCAAAATTCATATGAGTTCAGAGTCACATTAAGAGTAAGTTACATTAACTATATACTCACAGTAAATTGTGTATATTAGATATACATATCTACTCGGTAACAAATCACATTAATGTTACATGTAAAACTGTTGTGAGATCTGTTATATGATATATCCGACGATAATGGGTTATTTTATAAGCAAAGTCAATGAGAGTGTTATGAGTATGTAGTGAAATATTCGACGACAAAGATACGAAACGTGTTCGCGTATAGAAAATTTTATAATTTTTTTAAAAGTCAATGTAAGTGTTCGCGTATTGAATGATTGGAAATTTTCTTACACACACTAATCATCAACACTCACAACTCACCACTTCGCACTCGTGCGAATGTTAAAGATAATGAAAGTTTTCGCGTATAGACATAACGTATAATAAAATTGTCTCATTTCAATAGTCTTACTCCGCCGTATGATCGTCCAAAAGACTCAAACCAATGTGTTCAATCAATCAATTAATTAATTAATTAAACAAATCGAAAGAAAGAAACACAGTCTTTTACAAACGTCCTTACGGGGACACGACGTATATTGTGCGCATTGCACACATGGAACAATAATAATATATTAAAAGAATCGTCCTCGGACGAATCACCTGGCGTAGGGCTGAGTCTCAACAGATCGCAGCACGACGCTGCTCTACCGAGCACAACACCCCGCCAGGAACGTAAGTCGTCTACAGACTATTCCGAGCTCCGACATCGAACTGAGGTTAATTCGGACCCTCGGCGCCATGGTGCACGCGTTAAAAACGATAACACCGATCGCCGAGATCCAAATGGGCTTCGAC